ACAATTACTACTAAGTTAAGATACTCACTATGTTTTTTCTTTACTTTGTACGGTGGCAAGAGAACCCTGACCTATTGGGGGGCCCTGGGCATATTAGGATAATGGGGCCCCTATGACCCCCGTTTGGTGATTTAACAGGAACTAGGGACTTTGTATTTGATCTGAGGGGGGCCCCTATCGATTGATCGAAGTCATGGCTATATTGACAAAAAGTTGATCACTATAAAGTGTGTATTTCTGTTGCCGAGGGGCCTCTTACTCCGAAACGAACTTTCGGTAACGAAGTTCAAATGGAATTTTATTTCGTCAATTTGAGGTGATACCTAATTTGAACGATAAACTTTCAAATTAAAGGCCATTGAGCAAAAATGTATATATAAAAACGCGGCCCCAGCACCGACCCCTGTGGAACCCCGCACACCATCCTCCTCGCCTTTAAGGCGCCATTGGGATCATAGTATAACAGCTCCCGGTCTCGTAGGTAGTCCTGCAGTATCCGCCTGAGATACGGAGGGACCCCATGGTGGTGTAGGGCTTTCATGATGCAGCTGTAGGGGACTGTATTAAAAGCGTTCGCTATATCCAAAGCCAGATTTACATTGATACAGTAGCTGGCGCCAGTTTGTGGACTGGATTGTATCGTTTACATTTTTGCCAGCAGTTGCATTTGAGGATTAGTGGTGACTACACGTTTGGGAAAAAATGAACACTGATTTTATTTTCGCTTTCATTTCTTCAATAGTTAACCTTTCCATATTCATTGAAGAGCAAATATTTTGTAGGGCGGTTATTCGCATCTATTTATTTCTATAATTTTGCGAACGAATGTCCCATAAACACTCCGCATTTTTCTATATAAATGTATAAATTGTAATGCCTTATCATCACCCTACTTTCGAGACATTTTCTTGGATGCGGGGTGTGGTCACTGGCATGTAAAGTAAGCCTTCGTTCTACTCCATGCCAGCGCTGGCACCAGTGCGGGACTGGCGCCAAAAAATGTTTACATGGATCCAGTGCCGACATGCCAGCGGGACTGGCGCCAGCTACTGTATCAATATCTAAATAATCTCAGTAAATCTGGCTCAACGATATAGCGAGAACGCTGCCTCCTCCGATAACCGTGCCTCCTCCGATAACCGTGAAGTTCAGTTCAGTTGCTGCATCGCGACCACTGTGCCACGTCCGCCACGGCTAAAACACATTTGTTTGAAAGCTTTTGTAGTCATGATTATCTGTGCCAAAGCGCATTAAATTTCATCCCGGGGGTCTTTAGTTATTTTAAATGAAATAGGTATACAAAAGTACTTAAACGCACCAACATGAATGAAATAAGGGAATATATTTCACTAGCCGGGCCCCGCGGTGTTACTATGTGTTAATCCAGGATGTCAGCTAACTTCATACCAAATATTATTAAAACCTCTCCAGCCGTTCAGACGTGAAGAAGTAACAAACATACACACTCACAATCTTTCGCCTTTATAATATTAGCGTGATAACAGATATTTTTAATAATCTTTGCCCACTATCACAGTGTCCAGAAGGAAGCCGGTATGAGAATATTCTCTTCATGTCTTGCCACACCTAAAAACCATATGACTCGGGGGCTTCCCAATGAAGTGAGACGTTCCCACATGGGTGTAGGACCGTAGGGTACCGGTGAGTTTTAGTGGGTAGCTGTGTCCCGTGCCAGGTGAGACCCACACATGTCGTGCGCTTCGCCAGCGCACGGTACGGTCCGTCAAGGGATTTCTCATACCATAACGGTGCGAGTATATTTTTGCTTGCAAAAGCCACACAGAACTGACCCGTCAATACCAACGTAGCTAAGCTAGTCAACGAATAGTTCCGATTCTCGGTATAGGGATATGCTGATGTGTCCGTCTCCCGAACGTGCTCACCGTAATAGCTTTTAGTTAACTTCAGTACCCTTAGCACGAATCAATATCGCTGGTTATATGCCCAGAGCAATAATTATAATTCAATCACAACGAAATAAGATAAAGGACTGCATACGAGTCGACTAGTCTTTCAATCTTCGTAACCCTGACCCATAAACCGTTTTGAGGAGTCTCGCTAAATCCAAGCGCAGGATGATCGGCAGGTTTTGTAGCATATTTGATTGTATAGTTTGATATGAGGGCACCAGGGATGTTGCGAATATTCGCATCCGCATATGCGGAACATCCGCATCGATTTAGACATCCGCATTCGCAAAACAATCAACAATCTTGTTTTGTGGGAAATGTCTTTTGCCATAGCGTGTGGGGAGAGGTAGAGAGAGATATGTTTTTTTTCTCTTCTTTCTTTTTAAATGGATGTGGCAGAGATATTTTGATACGGTCAGCCAAGCATGTTTTGGTTTTATTTTTATTCCTTATGTTTTTATTTGTTTATGTTATTTGTTGTTCTTGTTGTTATTGTTTCGGGCGACACCAAACCGGTTCCAACGGAAGACCAGCACTAATGGCATCATTAGCACTATGCTGAGTTGGGACCTTTTTGAGACAAAATTTAATTGTTTTATTTTATTTTTTATATTATTATGTTTATTATGTTTATATGTTGTCCCAAATAAAATTATTTCTTTCTTTCTTTCTTCAAAAATCGATGCGGAGCTGCTGCGGATGCGTATGTGTAGTAGGTCGCGACAAGTGAGAAAGGGGCAGGTCCGACGAGTGGCGCTTAATGCCTAATTTTGTTAAACGGTGACGCGCCTCGTTATTGTTTGTGTTTTTTACTTCTTTATTGTAGTTTTTGTTAAAAATTCCACCACCCACGCAAAGTGAAATTTGGACCTATTTCAATGCCGTTGAAAATTACCGGGATAAATCTCAGTGTAAAATTCGTATATGTAGTAAAACATATTCTCAAACGGGTCGAACTTCATCGTCGCTAAAAAAATATCTAAAATCAATGCACCCCCAAAAGTTTACTTTGTTTGAAAACGCGAATAACGAAAAAAGCAGCTACAGAAAACAAAAACAAAATAATGAGTAAAAGCACGCACTTCTTTATTATTAAATAAAGAAACGATAAATATTACTGAAAATAATAAAATTAATTTACCACAAAATCGGGAGCAGTGGCGTGCATTAGGGGAGACCTTTGTCCAGAAGTGGACGAACATGGGTTGATGATGATGATGAAATATTACTGTCTTTTTTTTTAACCCTAACCACACTTAAGATTTTTGTACAGATCCGCATCCCCACCCGCGGATGTGAGCCTCTTAAAATCCGCATCACATTCCGATGTGAGGAAATCTGCATCCGCAACATCCCTGGAGGGCACTATTGAATGAATTTATTGACCTACTTAACTTGTATAAGATAGTATATCTTTCGACCACCATGATATTTTTTTACTGTGTCATAATAAAAAAAGTCTAATTTTTCACAGATCTTTCGAATAATACTAATTACATTGTAGGCAGAGCTGGGTGTTTTTTGCCCATAGTCCTTTTTCGTCGAGTAGGCTTAGAGAATATAAAACTCAATCTATTTTTTGGCGAAAGTAAGTTATTATACTTAATTAGAAACGAATAAGATACAGTAAGAAACCTGGGAAGTTTCCATATAAATTTTGGTTTTTCGTTGAATTACAGTAGGCCTCCCATATGATAATTTGTTGAGTAGAGTCTGTACGGAAAGAGAATGGGCGTGGCGAAAAACGGAACTAACATTAAGATTATTATTGGCATAAAACTAGTTTTTACGGGTTAATGCACGAAACTTTATTTATTTATTGACGTTTCGCAGCCTTTTCAGCTGAGCGGCGGTTCGTTCCTCGAATGATGCGCGAGGCTATTGAGATTAAAAAATATCCTAATTTCAATAGGGAAGATGGTTGGTATATACCACCAGCTTGGGAACCTATTATACAGGAGATAAAATCCCAACCCCGAGCACACACTGCAAGACCATCAGATACTATTAGTTCTTTTTGTTTGCATAATTTAACATAAGAAGGAGATAGAAAGCCTCTCTTGAGTTTGTTTCGCCGGTTCTTCTCAGGAAGGTCTCCCAATTTTGGAACCGGTGGTAGTTTACGGTAGTTAGGGTCAAATAAATAAATAAACTCAAAATTACAAACAAGAATTTTAAATAAAATACTTTATTAAGTAAATTAAATATTAAATTCATACATAGACAATAAAATTTTAAAAATCTTCCAATGAAATAACCAAACGCTCAATATAAGTCTTTCGAAGGTAGCTCGATAATTTTAAATAAAAAATCATTATTCTGACGATGCAGACCTGAAAAGGCTGCGAAACGTCAATAAATAAATAAAGTTTCGTGCATTAACCCGTAAAAACTAGTTTTATTTAATGAGTGATGTGCGTGAAAGCCTAAGAAACAAATATTATTATTGGCAATCAAACCCAGCAATCTGGAAGACGTCAAAGTTTTGTATTGATACTGATTTGTTTGTTGTTGTGATTCTTGCTGTTTTTTGTATTTAATCCTGTCTAAAAGGCGTAAAACCTAACAAATACGGTAGAAAAGCACTACAGCGCCCTCCAATCTAAATCCCATTCTCTTTCCGCACAGACTCTACCTATGTATTTATTATAAATAAAGAAAACTTTTAAATTTTAAAGTGGATCCCCCATAAAGGAAACAGCTCACAGATGAGAAAAGGAGCCTTAGAAATTCAATGTTATTATATTCTTTATTTCTTAAGAATTTAACTGCTAGATGTGTAAATCCAAAGAATTTTTTACTAGAAAAATTCTACACGGTCCAGGCAGCAGACGGGACTGGAACTCGCACCCTCCGCTATCCGGGCGGATGCACTGACCATTATGCTACCGCGGCCCTGATGGCCGTGTCGAATTCTTTCTAGTATTTCTTAGGCTGCAAGGCAGCGCCATCTCATCGCAATATAAGTAACCCACAATGTCAAATGAAAAGCATGCTCGCCTGCTGCTTGAACCGCGTGGATTTTTTCTAGTAAAAATTTTCTTTAAAATCAATGTTCCTTTGTTACAGGTCATAGACTGAAGAAGAAAACAAATTGTGTAAGTGAACATTTATTTAAGTGAAACTTTTACTACATGGCTACAATTTTTCGTATAATATCACTCACGGATCGCGTCGTAATTCCTCTAGCCATTCTTAAGCTGCAAGCGCCATCTTTTCGCATTATAGGTAACCCACAATGTCAAATGAATACTTTTACAAGTATTGAACATTTGAAAGAAGAAATAGCAATTATAGTTATTATTTTTTAAGCATGTAACTGCTTGATGTTTAAATCTAAAGAAAATATAACTAGAAAAAATTTCTCGACTCGACACACAACACTTAGAGTATCGGATCGCGACACGACACTTTTTTGTCTATTTCCGGTTTTACACATACGAACCACAGGATTCCAGACACTCGACAATTTAAACCCGTCCTCACGATTGAAATTTTTATTTCAATCGTTTTCCTGACCAATCTTGGTATGTAGTGGCGTTCTGTCGAGATAATCTGTGGGGTATGAAACTCAATCCAGTGGTTAGGACCAGAATCAAACAAATGTTCCGCGATGGCTGATTTCGGCGTATCGTATCGTAACAAGGTACCCCCTTGGGGGTAGAATTGATTAAAATCCTTTCTTAGCGGGTGCCTACGTCATAACATCTACCTGCATGCCAAATTTCAGCCCGATCCGTCCAGTGGTTTGGGCTGTGCGTTGATAGATCACTATGTCAGTCAGTCACCTTTGAGTTTTATATACATACCAGCGGCCCGCCCTCGCTTCGCTTCGGTGTAGAGCTGAAGTGTAGACTACAGTTTTTGTTCTCAGGCTTGTATTATACACAATGACATTCATCTATGATTCTTCTTATACCTGCATGCAAAGTTTCAGCCCAATCGGTTCAAAATTGACAAAGTTTCATACAAACTTTCATTCCCTATTTTATACCCTTGGGGGTGGAATTACACCTTCAATGATAAAGTACCAAACAAACAAAGCTTATCTCTTTTTGTATAAAAGTAAATTGATTATTCGCTGACCAGCATCTTTAAGTTCTTATCTTTATTGTCGCATTTTATTTAACACATATCTCAAAAATAATATCAAAAATAAGTCTTGCAACACCATAGCAAATTATATGTTAACTTATTACTTGTATAATGAAATGATTAATTTGTTTCAATCTTATGTATTTACTAGCGGCCCACCCTCGCTTCGCTTCGGTGTAGAGCTGAAGTGTTGACTACAGTTTTTGCTCTCAGGCTTGTATTATACACAATGACATTCATCTATGATTCTTCTTATACCTGCATGCAAAGTCTCAGACAGACCGGTTTCAAATTGACAAAGTTTCATATAAACTTTCATTCCCTATTTTATCCCCTTGGGGGTAGAATTGATCAAAATCCTTTCTTAGCGGATGCCTACGTCATAACATCTACCTGCATGCCAAATTTCAGCCCGATCCGTCCAGTGGTTTGGGCTGTGCGTTGATAGATCACTATGTCAGTCACCTTTGAGTTTTATATATATAGATTGATAGATGTTAGTGACCATGAAAGTTTAAAACAATAGACAAATACCTAACTTCTTCGTCTGTCCACAGATGATGATAACTGTAAAGTGTAAACAGTTACGCATTGTTTTTTTTCTGTCATATTATTATGTACATAGTTGAATTTTAATTATTTGCCGTAGATAATGCTGTAATGAAACATATACCTACGCAATAGAGTATGCTTTGGCTTGGCCGTTTTGCAGGTGTTGTTGAAGGTATCCCTAGTAGGCTGACAAGGCTTGCCAGATGGCCGGGAAATCCGGGATTGTCCCGGAATTTTGCGACTTGTCCCGTGTCCAGTGATAAGACCTCATTGTCCCGGATTCCGATAATGTGCTAGTTTCGTAACAAAATAAACTAATAACGAATGACACCGCTGGCCTGCTTGATGTTTTAATTCGGGAGGTGATGGGGGGGTTTCATTTTTTTTTACACACCAATTAGCCTAGCCCCAAAGTAATCACTATAAGGCTTGTGTTATGGGATGCTAGGGTAACGGATAAAATACATATACTGTACATATATAAGTATATTTTTATAGAAATACATATTACACATCCATGACTGGGGTACAAATGCTCATATTCATCACACAAACATCTGCCCCCACCGGGATTCGAACCCGAGACCTCTCGAGTCGGCGACACCATGAAACCAGGCGTAAAAACCACTCTGCCACGGAGGTCGTCAATTGATGCTTTATTTTTTCGAGGGGGGTGCAAATGTCCCGGAATTGGTAAGCCAGCATCTGGCAACCCCAGTGACAAGTATGTCTACACCGATTATATTTAAAAAATCCATAAGGTAACTATTGTTAGTGAAGCATAATCTTCAACGCCAAGCATAACGCTGAGCTAATTTCAAATGCTTACTTATCTAATTCATGTCCACTCAACCAACACTGAGATAACGTAATCTACGCTTCAGCATTAATTTTCATACCACACTCCTGCGCAGCTGTGTGCGAGTTCAACGTAACTTCCGCATGCAAATATTATAGATGTTTGTATGCAATAATACATAACCGTTGAACATTGGTGTTATCATTATCGACGACCTCCGTGGCCGAGTGGTTTGTACGCCGGGTTTCATGGCTGTCGCCGACTCGAGAGGTCCCGGGTTCGAATCCCGGTGGGGGCAGATGTTTGTGTGATGAATACGAGCATTTGTACACCAGTCATGGATGTTTAATATGTATTTATATAAATATACTTATATATGTACAGTGTATGTATTCTATCCGTTACCCTAGCATCCCATAACACAAGCCTTACAGTGCTTACTTTGGGGCTAGGCTAATTGGTGTGAGTGTCGGAAATATTTATTTATTATTATTATTATGTACCTACATTAGCACTTCCTTTTGATGGTGATGTGTTTTTATTGGTAAATATGGTTACAGTGAACTGTACTTACCTCAGGTGAGGAGAATTTTACAATAAGCTTCCAAATAGTATGAGAGATTGCCTATTAATAAATTTAAAACAACTTTAAAAAGCTAAATTGTATAAAAAAAGCTTATTATAAAATTAATGACTATTTGAATGATAAAAATGCGTGGGAGTAAAATCTGCCCAAAATTTGCTCATCTAAAACTGTACTTTTAGTGCCTTAATTATTATTTTCTGATGTAACTATTGACCTGTAATGATGTTGTAAGATCAGTACGAAATTGTAAGCTGTGGGGTTTCTTTCGCCGCATCTTCTCCGACAAAGCAGCATAATAATTAGGTATTTAAGTGAAATAATTATTTCATCTCGAAACTGTGGTAGGGAATTGACGATTTAAAAGTACTTACCAAAGTCCATTTAAATAAAGATATTTTGAGTTTTGAGAAGAATTTGTTAATGGGTAAATTCCTGATTCTCTACTCAGCCCGAAAGCAAAGATGGGACCCGCGATGTAGCGAGCTTACTCAAAAGAAGCCTAATCATTCTGGCTTTAAAAAAAAAGATTATATTGTCCTCGGAGACACAGACGCATCCTTCTCTGTACACACTATAAAAGTATTTGAGAAGCGTTTGGTGCGAAGAGCAGGAACAGTAACTAAGAAGGGATGGCAATCTGGACGTCCGATGGTAGAAGGGAAGGCGAAATGAGTTTATGTAACTCCTGAGCACACTCCCCGAAATATTACCCCTGAGGAACGCTGCTGTCTAGGGATGAAACGATACCATCTAGGTATTGATACATTTACTCGATACTGTATTGGTCATAAAGTATCGATACTTACTCGGTATCGAATGATAGGTATCGATACTTACTTGTATCGATAAATTTAGACGAACGATATTACAATTACAAATTCAGTCACAGTTAATGCCACGCGCTGAACGAATAACTGACTGAAAAATTGGAATAAATATAAATCATACGTAAGGCTGTCAACTGAGCAGCATAGAAAAGATGCGTTCGCGAAAAAAAAACCAACTAAACACCTTACCATAGAGTAAATATAATCTGCCTATGGGTGTTTTTGATACTTCTGTGTGTTTTTTTAAGCACTGTAAAGGCTTGTGTTATGGGATACTAGGGTAACGGATAGAATACATATATTGTACATATATAAGTATATTTATATGAAAGACATATTAAACATCCATGACTGGAGTACAAATGCTCGTATTCATCATACAAACATCTGCCCCCACCGGGATTCGAACCCGGGACCTCTCGAGTCAGCGACGCAATGGAACCCGGCGTATAAACCACTCGGCCACGGAGGTCGACAAAGCCTACAGTTACCGACCGAGTACTGATACAAGTACTTACTTCACGATACTACTTGTTACTCAGTTCTAAAGTATCGATGCTAAAAGTACTTGGTATCGAAGCCAAAAGTACTTGGTATCAAAAGAAAAGTATCGAGTAGTTACTTGTATTTACTCGTATCGTTTCAGCCCTACTGCCGTCCATAGCCAGAAGGTCAGAGCAACAGCAATCAATGACCACTCTGATCAACCATTTACTAAGGAAATCAGCTAACCAATCACAAAAGCCGTCAGGGATGCTGAACCCTATCGAAGGCCTTTGAGAAGTGGAACAGCGAGTGCTTTACCGTGTTTCTCGATGGCCTCTACGGCGACGAGAGATGAGTTCTGAATCTAAATCACATGCGCCCTTGAAGTACAAAAACAATGGTCACCCTACAATTGACCGTCATGCTCGGGTACGCGCGTCTAACCCATCTGGCTAGTGCGCAACAGTTTCCGTCGAATGTTCTTCGCCAGTATCTATTCTTACTCAAGTTCCTGTAATGTTTTACTTAAAAACTACCTAATCGAGTTAATTAGCTTTACTACACAGCGGCAACACGTTTTTTTCCACCGCACACCGTACCGTAATTGTCCACTGAAGCTGAAAATGACGTAATTATTTTGCGGTTAAGAATTTTATAACCCTTTGATATAAAAAAATATTTCCAACACTCTAGCACTGTAGGCTTGTGTTATGGGATGCTAGGGTAACGGATAGAATACATCTGTACATAGCC